AAAGTGGTGGGGCCCAGGGGCACCTGAGACCTCCAGAGAACAACCTGGTCTTACCCTGGGGAAGCTGGCCTCCCTTTCCGGGCTGATGGCACTAATGAGAACCACATTTGGTTCCAAGAGCTCCAGCCAGAGCTGAGCACCCCTTCATTCCTTCCCAACCGCACCGCCCCCCCCCTAATTTTTTTTCCCACTCCACCTCTTCACCTTCCTTCCCTGTTTCCTCTCTGTCTTCCCTCTACAGACTTCAGGCCCCTCCAAAAGCTTTCATCTGCTGCACATGTTTAGTTATGACAGGAGAGGAAGAAACACATTAGCTATCAGCAGAGCTGGCCGGGAGCCAGGCAGCCAGGAGTGTTCCATCTACCAGAGGTAGATGTTCATGGGCTTGGATGTTCATGCTGGATGAGAGTGTGGACCAGTGCCCTCTACACGGCAGAGCCGCAAAGGGCACAGCTTCCCGCCCTCCTCGCTGGCTGGGGTAGACAGAGAGAGGCGCCAGTTGTGATGAATTGGAGGACACTTCTGTGCCAGGCCCCTCTGAGGTCCTTGCAACTGGTCACGGGGCGCAGGTCTTCCTATCCCAGGTGGAGCGAAACAGGAAAACTGGGGTGCCTACTGTGCGGAGGTTCTTGTGTTTCTTACGTTGTCCCATGAGGAAGGGAGGGCTAAAAAGGACAGAGAGCCACACCCACGCAGAAGCTGTCCACAGGTAGCTTCCTGTTTCATCTCTCCAGGCATCGGGCCGAGAGGCAGGAAGACACACAGCACAGCACTGTGGTCACGCAGCTCCAGACACCCCGACCAGTTGAAACAGCCAAACCTCAGAGCACAGTGGCACACACTGAGGGCCTCGAACACATTTTGCATTAAGCAGCTTCTTGTGGCGTCAGCCTTGTGGGTGACCTCTGGAGAGGCATTTCACTTCCTGAACGTGTTCTCCAGCTGTGAAGCAGGGACAATGATATCCTAGGAGGTTTAAATCAAAGCTGAAATGAGACCGGGCCAGTGGGTGTCCCGGGTGGGCTCTAGAGCGCCGCCAAGTGGAGACCTGCGGGACTGGGCCGCTTGTGCATCGTGGCTGTGGATATGGGTGACACGGGCCTGAACAGCATGGAGACCACTGGGTCTCACAGTTTTAGGTTTCAGAACATTTTATACTCGTAAAAATCAGTGGAGAGTTCACTTTCTGTTTATAGGTAATATCTATCAAAGCTCACTCCGTTGAAAATTTCAACTGAGAAATTTCAAATATTCAATAAAAAAACGTATGGATTGGGGGATCTCTGGCGTCCTGTAAATTGAACATTGTAGCTCATACTTGTAAATCCCAGCACTGAAGGCAGAAGAAGCAGGAAGATTAGAAGTTCAAGGCCAGCCGGGTGGTGGCACATGCCTTTAGTTCCAGCACTCAGCCAGGCAGATCTTTGTGAGTTCGAGGCCAGCCTGGTCTACAGAGCGAGATCCAGGACAGGCTCCAAAACTACACAGAGAAGCTCTGTCTTGAAAAACCAAAAAAAAAAAAAAAAAAAAAAAGTTCAAGGCCATTCTCAGCTATGTAGGGAGTTCAAGGCCAGTCTGGGGCCCATGAAACCCTGTCTTAGAAACAAAAACAAACCCACCGGGAGCCTTGCACTTTGAATGGCTCCTTTGTCACGATTCTGTAGTTCTACCGGTCACAAGTTCTTATACTTGGCATTTGAAAATTGTGGTTCACCGAATTCCGTGGGCCTTTCAAGCGCCCCACCTTCCACTGTACGTCACTGATCCAAGTTCGCTCACCTCACCAGCCCCACCTTCTTTATTGCTCTTTTTCATTGGCCTGTTTGGTCGGTTATGGAGAAAGGGTCACACTAATATAGTTTGGCTGACCTGGAGCTAGCTCACTATGTAGCCCAGGCTGGCCTTGAACTCGCAGTAACCCTTCTGCCTCTGCCTCCCATGTGCTGGAATTAGAGGTAGGCAACACCATGCCTGCCCCACAACACCCATCCGAATGGGAGACTCTTGAGGAATTAGGAAACTCAGCATCGTGGTACAGACAGAGATTTAGAATTCTGACTCCTGCCTGAAAACTTGCGTTTTTATCTCCGATAACACACGCATCACATTTTCTTTGAAATGACAGACTGCCTTGGTTTACTTTTTTTTTTTTTTTCCCCAGATAGGTAGGCTTAAGTAGCCTGGATAACTATGTAGACCAAGCTGTCCTCAAATTCACAGTAGTCCCTCTGTCTCTGCCTTCTGAGTGCTGGGCCACCACAGGCATATGCCACCACAACTGGGCCTCACACACTCCCTTTTTTGTTTGTTTGTTTGTTTGTTTTCGAGACAGGGTATTTCTGTGTAGTTTTGGTGCCTGTCCTGGATCTCACTCTGTAGACCAGGCTGGCCTCGAACTCACAGAGATCCGCCTGGCTCTGCCTCCCGAGTGCGCCACCTTGCTTTTCCTCGAGCAAGCCAATGTTTGTCATTTGCATTTAGCATGCTTTGTATGTATGTCTCATAGAACATTAAGAAGTGTACCCCGGGGCTGAAATTGGATAAGACTTCATTTTCAGCCGGGCGGTGGTGATGCACACCTTTAATCCCGGCACTCGGGAGGCAGAGGCAGGCGGATCTCTGTGAGTTCGAGGCCAGCCTGGTCTACAAAGCGAGTTCCAGGACAGGTGCAAAGCTACACACAGAGAAACCCTGTCTCGAAAAACAAACAAACAAAGAAAAGACTTCATTTTCACTGTTGCATTGAGGAAGGTTATTCTCCGGGAATTGCCTGCCCCCTCCCCGGTGTGTGGTGGTGGAGAGGGCAGTGATGATTGGCATAGTTGTTGCCTGTGACATCATTCACAGTAAGGCACCATTGCCTTCGTGAATGTCACAAGGACAAAGTCAGCATGTGTGTTAACACAGTCAAAAGAGTCAACGTAGACAGGTACTATTAGCAGGCTATGATGATGCATGCCTGTAATCTCTGAACCCCGAGGCGGAGGCAGGAGGACCAGGTGGTTGAAAAATATCCTGAGGTACATGGTAGATTCAAGGCCAGCCTGGGATACATAAGGCCCATCTAAATCCACACCAAACCACACCACAAAACCCTCCAGAACTAGTGTGGAGACAAGTCTTCGTTAATGTTAGTTTTGGGGATAGTACAGTTAAACTCCTTTCACTGTTTAGCCGGGCGGTGGTAGCACATGCCTTCAATCCCAGCACTCAGGAGGCAGACAGCAGGTGCAGGAGGATCTCTGTGAGTTCAAGACCAGCCTGGCCTACGATCGAATTCCAGGACAGCCAGAGCTGTTACACAGAGAAACTGTCTCAAAAAAACCCAAACCAACCAACCAAACAAACAAACAAAAGACCCCCAAGCGACTTTCACTGTTTAAAAGCCCGATGGGCCATGTGCCTTTTTCCTGCATCGATTTTACTCACTGCTCATCTGATTCTGCCCCTCCACTTGACAGTTAAGGAAATGAAGGCTTACGAGGCTGAGTGGTTCTGTCATTTGTCACCCAGTTGGCAGTTAGTAGCAGAAGGGAGTCTGGGTCTCATGTCTGTAAGTCAGCAGGCTCCCATGTGTCCTGAATCCAGACCTCACAAAGGATCCTGGGTGCTGGTTGAGCTCTGGCACACTCATAGTCAACGCCAGCAGTGCCCCACAGGTGCAGAAGGCGGGCACACCTTTGTCCTGCACGGCCAGTCCAAAGACAGGATGGCCATTCCAGGGTCATCCTAGGGGGGTCATCCTGTTGGTTAAGCGGCCGCGCTCGTGGCTGGCCACAGTGGCCATGCCGACTGCTGGATGCTGTGGTGGCGGAAGAATCACGAGCCATGGTTACCTTTCTAGAGCTTTATTGGGAGAGAGAGGGGGAGAGAGAGAGAGGGAGGGAGGGAGGGAGAGAATACGGGAATACGGAAGGAGAGAGTGTGGAAAGAGAGAGGGCACAGAGAGGGCACGCCCACTTTTTAGGCTGGGACACCATCGCAGGCTGGTGACGTAATTAAGGACAGAATCCTCACGCATCCTAGGTGTGGAGCGCACTCTATTTAAATTGTTGAATCCCGGCACTTGAGGGACTGGGGCAGGAGAGTATTGAGTTTGAAACCATCCTGGGTTACACAGGGAAACTCTGTCCCCCTCCTCCCCCCCAAAAAAAATAGTTAAAATAGTAGCTTGCAAGGGCCAGGGGTCTAGCTCAGTGGAATGATGGGTGCCGAGCACATTCAAGGCCCTGTATGTGATCCCTAGCATCAAAAAAGAAAGAAGGCATATGTTTTGGAAATAATTTTTGCTGGGGATGTAGGTTGAGCGTGTGTATCATGTGTAAGGTCTTGGGTTTTCTTCCCAGCATGGTGACAGCTGGGGTGGGGTGGGGGGGCGGGGAGGGTTAAGAAAAAAGAAAAGAGAACTATTCATAACTGATATATAGAGATCTCCAATGTAAATTGTCAAACGAAATAGCAAGCTAGAGAAAAGGTCTTTGAAAGTCTGGAGTGTAGTTCAGTGCTTGTCTGGGAGGCATAAAGCCCTGGTTTCCACCCACAGTAGAAGAGACGAGAAGGGAGGGAGGGAGGGAAGGAGGGATTGGGGGGAGAATCCAAAGCTTGTGGGTTTGGGAGTCAAGAAGGAAGAGTGGGGAGGGGGGTCGGCTCTTCGAGACAGAGTTTTCTCTAGAAGAACAGATAGGGGGAAAGGGGTACCTGTTGCTCAGGAGTCAAGGAACCCTGTGGGAGGGGGTTTCTCATCAGTCTCCTGGGGTACGCTTTGACATTTGAACCCTGCTAAACACGACTGACTAAACATTCAAACAGACAACAGCTTCCAGGAGGCTTGGTGCCATCTCCTCTGCCCGAGCAATGGTTGTCGTTCACCAATCCTGTCACACCACTTTGCGGGTGGGGAGCTGTGGCCCAACCCAAACTGTGGGCCACAGAGAGAGTGAATGTGGGTTCAGGAGCCTCACCCCATTCACTCTGGCTTTCCTGTCCCCCTCCACCTGCAGGTAAGATCCTGGTTCACTGTGCCATGGGCCGAAGCCGGTCGGCAACCCTGGTCCTGGCCTACCTGATGATCCACAAGAACATGACCTTGGTGGACGCCATCCAACAGGTGGCTAAGAACCGCTGTGTCCTGCCCAACCGGGGCTTCCTGAAGCAGCTCCGGGAGCTGGACAAGCAACTGGTGAAGCAGCGGCGACAGGCTGGGCCAGGGGACAGCGAGCTGGGGAGGTAGGGGGCCCGCCCCAGGGAGGATCGGGGACCCTGGCGCCCAGAGCGGAGGAAGGCTGACGGACGGGTGTCTGCACGGAGGCTTTGTCGGTCATGGAGATGGGACAGTGAAATTAAAAGGCTGGGTACAGGGAGGATGCCCAGCTGTCTCCTCCAAGTCTAGTTCTCCATCTCACGGTGGGCCAGGCCGGCTGCAGGGGGACCTGGGTTCCGATGAGTACCACTGTGGTCTCCCGTCCTTTACGTTGGAAGCATTGGAAGCAGAGAGGTTTTGTTTTTTTTTTTTTAAATGTGTGGGCATTGTGTTGTGATTAAATGTTTGGCTCTGAAAGAAAAAAAAATCACATTCTTATAAAAAAATAACTTAAAATAGAACTTGATTTTTTTAACCACAAGCTGTGTTACAAGACGGGCTTTACCACTTATGAGGAGCCTCAGAGCACCCATGTTTCTTTGTCCATGGTGGGGTGTGTGTGTGTGTGTGTGTGTGTGTGTGTGTGTGTGTGTATGTGTGTATAAGGGGTGGCATGGAGTCCCTTCCTTACATCACAGCCAGAGCTGTCACCACCCAAATGAGCTGTGGTCAATTTGGACAAGGAAGCGTGTAACCTCACAATTTGGGAGAAAGAGAGACACAGGAGACACTTAATTTGAGGGGACCTGAATGCCTCTTTCCTTTTAGCTCCAGGAAGGGCACAATGGTGGTTCGTTTTCACTCACACCCTGAACTATTTGCAAATGTCTGGCTTGCATGGAACTGGAGGGCAGGGCAGCCAGGTGAGCACAGATGTGAGCTGGCCTCTCTTGAGAGTGAAGTCAGCACCACCAGGGTCATTCTTCACTCAAGGAAACAGCAGCAGCACAGTAGTGTGGTGGCTTCCAGAAGCAGGAGCCCGGAAAAGATGGAACCTAGAGAGAGACCAGCGGTGGAGTACCACCAATGATGGTGTCCTGGAGAGAGCAGAGAGGGCCTGAGGCCTTGGGGGAACGGCGGGAAGGAGCCCATGCTTCCTTCCAGTGTGAACTAGAGGGTCCAAGAGGATGCTCTTGCTGGAGGGATGCTGAAGTCCAGGGAAGCTGGGTAAATGTCACTGTGACATCCGGGGGAGCTGTCTTGCTTTCGTGCCACTTGTAGTTTGGGACCTTGTGGTTAGACTGGTCTCCTGGGACTCTCACGAGAATGCTCTGGGTGTCACCTTTGTTCAGGAGGAGGCTGGGTCCTCATCTTAACATAGGCATGGGAGGAGATTACCTCAAGACTCCCTTACAGTTACAATATTGGCCTTGTAATAAAACAAACAAACAAACAAACAAAAAACCCAAAACATTGTTGAAAAGTTGAAACCAAACACACACAGTCACCTGGTCTTGCCAGGCGGCAAGCCTGAAGTGGAGACGGTGCTAAGCTGAGATGCCTGGCTGGATGAACCCCAAGTCATGACTGTGAGGGAAAGCACACTGGAGTAGCACACCTACCAAGGCCAGACTTGCTTGAGGACTCAATTTGGTGTCCTGGGAGCCACAGGCTCTTGGGAGAGGGACCTGGGGTCAGAGTAGTCCCTACGTGGGCTTTTCGTCAGAGCATCCTGATGACCCCTTCTGAACTCAGTTCTCTATTAGTCTTAGCCATTCAGTGTCCAGACAAGTCAGTATTTCTATTTTCACGATGCACTTGCGTTGTGAACTCATATGCAGGAGACGTAGGACGTACATAGTTCCATTGAGGTTTTCTTGAGCCACTGACCCTGTACTTCCTCTCTGTGGAGTACCCCATAGCCCACCTCTCTGTGGAGTAGAGTCCTGTCGAAGCAGAGAACCTAATGTTGCATGCCTGCACTCTTCCTGGTGACTCCTGGGACTTAGAGGTAAGAGAAAGGAGGAACGGAAATGTTAGTAACAGCGTTTAAAGACCTCATAAGCAATGTTTGCACTCAGTTAAATAGCATTATTGAGACTTAGCACATTCCCAAACCCGGGTTAAGGGGCCAAATTAAAACATGCAGATGGCACTAAAAGGCAGTGTGGGACATGGGGGATGAGGTAACCGGTGGAGAAGCCCACTCTGGATGAGTTAGTATGGTGTTGGGAAAGAATATACCTCCAAGTGTGCAGTGAAACAGAGAGGAACTGGTCAAGGCCGTTTCTTATCACAAAAAGTGTGTCTCAACCCAAATGGGGTTGGCAAGCAGCACAGATGGCCAAGGTGGACTCCATCTTTTATCCTTAATTCAAGTGGGAGCTTGGCTTCCTCGCTGGCTGAGGTTCAGCCTCCTAGTCTACCCTGGACTGGCTAATTTGGAAAGAGGAAAATGGTTAAGTTCCAGGAATGTAATAAGTTTTACAAGGTAAAGGAGATGAAAAGAATCTGAATAAAAGTTTTACAAGGTGGGGTAGGTAACTCGGGGAATATTGGCTCTTGGTGGGCTAGCCACCTTTGATAGAAAAAAAAAAACCAACCCATTTCTCACAGGGAAACCTTTATTGAAGGGAGGAGGGTCTTGGGACAGCAGCTCACTGTGTAGCCCAGGTTGGCTTTGAATTCACGACCTCAGCTGGAGAGTTGGCTCAGCAACTCACACGGTGGCTCACAACTGTCTGTAACTCCAGTTCCAGGGCATCCGATGGCTCTTCTGGCCTCCATGAGCACCAAGCACACATACACAGTACAGGAAAAATACCTGTATTAAAAAAAAGAAAAAAAGAAAAAAGAAAGAAACATTCCAAAAAGAACCCACCGCCCTCTCTCCCAGCAGGAGGGGGAATCTCACCGAGGACACAAGAGGAGCTTGTCCTTGGAGGGCACCTTCCAAAGGGGTAGGAGATTCTAGAATTTGATTCGGAACACTGATGACTGCGGGGAAATACAATTCTGGGAGTCTTCTGTCATCACACTGGATGAGATAAAGAGGAAGAAAAGATGCCCCCGAGCCCAGGGCTTGCAGAACGGTTCTGGGTGGAGGAGGAAGAGGCAGGAAAACCATCCCAGAAAGCGATGGCAGGAGCCTGCTCCATGGCAGATCCCCGACGCTAACGGCTGGGCAAGGCTTGCTCTCGATAAAGGAACCTGCATCTACAGAGCCGATTTGACATCATCAGGTGATTGACCATCCGCTGGGCCTTCACATCAGAGGTGACAAATCTGGGCCTTTTCAGACTAGTGTTTCCGAAAGCTGATTCAGTCCTCTGGGTACATTGCAGCTTAAAATTTCCGGCTGAGTTGGGGGCAATTAACTTTTTGTTTTTTTCTACCTCCTGACCAATGGGTGTGGGTTATGTAGGAGGACCGTTGACAAGGGCTGAGTCATCATTTCTCATGTTGGCAAGCAGGGCCTGTAGACCTGAGCTACTTAAGTGAAGTTGGCATCAGATGACCACTCTTACAAAGCAAACGCTGTTGGTCTTAAAGATGTGGGCAATGAGTGGATGGATACCAACCTAAGCGCAGTTGTATTGTTATGATGGATCTAAGCCATATCCCAGGATTTGTGGGGTGGCTTTTCCAGTGAGGCCCCAGCCAACTCAGCTGGACAGTTCTTTCCCAACACAGCTTGTTTCCTTAGGGGATATTTGGACTCTGCTGTTCTGAGGCATGGGTGTGGAACAGTGATTAGGAACTGATCCATAAAGCTCCTTTGGACTGTGAAGCGAGAGAGCAAGAGGTGGAGCATTGGGACCCAGACTTCCTACAACCCAAAGGTATGTTAACAGGCTATACTCAAAGGGAAAGGGGGTGTCTGGGCCCCCAGACTCTAAACAAAAGGCACTAAATTAGCACATAAATGTTTCAAAGAGGGGCTTGGAGGGTGTCTCTGTGGGGTTCCTAGACAGGGACAACAGCTTCCTGCCAGATGTGTGGTCCATTGCCCTGCCGGGACCCTCAGCCACTCCTAACCTGCTCTCACGACTGGTTCAGACAAACTGCACACAATCACCTGCTTCTCAGAAGATAGCATGTTTTCCTTCCCCAAGAATTATATTCTGCACCCCGCTTTGCTTTACCAGCCCGTGCAGGAGGGTCTCCCTACAAGCATTCACGCCTTCCCCACAGCTACTTCAGCTATTATCATCCCACTGGCTTGGCAGGAGCTGAAGGCTCGAAGGTAAAGTGTGGATGCCAACCCCAGCCTACACCCTAGAAGCAGGCGATGGTGAGAACAGGAAGGCAGACCCCAGCGGGCTTCTTCTGTTGGGGTGGCCTTTTGTTCTGGCATGTACGTACTATCCCACCTGGTTGAGCCCCAGTTATGGTTTGTGTCAGTGATGTGCAGAGTTGTGAGCTCCTGTGCACAGATGATGCCTTGAAAACTCCGTGGGCCAGTCACACAGAGGTGCCAAGCCATCAAATATTTTAACTCACAGTCAAAACTTTCTCTGAATGCCACGCAATGTGTATAAACATTCACTTTTGGGTGTGTGTGTGTGTGTTAAACTATAAACACTATAAGGGAACATCCAGTCATTCACAAGTGAGTGAAACTTTCACACTTTTTAAAAGAAATGAACTTTGAAATATACCACCCCCAACTGAGTGTTTGTGACAGCAATCTTTTAAAAAAAGCAGCTTGCTAGTGTGGTACCAGGCCCTCAGGGGTTCCTGCAGATGGTACAAGTGAGGCAACTGGACATCCTTGTGGGAGCTTTGGGCAAATGAAGATCAAAGTCAAAAGAAAAAAACAAACTCACTTTATTTTAAAGACAATAATTGGCATACAGAAGGTATGCACTAGCATAAAGTAAACTTTCATGAAAAGCATTAAAATCCATTATAAATTAATTTATTAAATAGGTATTTGGTATATGTGATGGTTTTATTAGATATTACTCTTATTTATTGCCAACCCCTCCCCCAAAGTCAAAACAAATCAGAAAAATCCCCTAACTCCAATTTACACTAAATAATTTATTTCCCCAATGTGTATGTGTTCCGAGATGTGACACAGGATAACAGTTCAGCTGGCCATTCTCCATCAATCATAATATGACAGGACACAAGAGGCTAAAAATGGCTCATCATAATTTATTTTATGTTAAAATGTACAGCTTTTTTTGTTTTTTCTTTCTTTTTTGAAGGAACTGACTAAAAAGAGGACAGATAAATACGCGAGTGCTGCTGGCTCCTATTTTATACAAGGTTACACCTCTGCTTGGCCCTCACTGTCACCTGGATAGGTACAAAGGCTACAAAAGGAAGCAATATAAACAGACACAAATAACTTTTCTGCTTTTTTACATGCGATTTGTAAGCTTAGTTTGAGCTATTCACAAGCTACTTTTCTATTTTTCCTTAAAAAATAACTCCAATATTTTATAAAGATAGAAAAATCTACAGATGGAATGAAAATGTAAAGTTAGAGGCATTTCCATAAAATAGCAACTTTACACCAAATTCACTATTTTTTTTTTAAATCCTGCCAAGTATTTGGACATATATGAAATGCTTCAAAACCTGACAGATAAACACTGAGATATGCTTCATTCAATAAACAGAAGTGTGCATTTATAAAACAGAAAGCTGCCTTTCCCCAAAGGAACCTGCCACCAAAATGGAAAAGGGTCTCAACTTTACAGCCAACGTTTAGCAATAAACCCCCTTGACTAACCAGATGGGGTAGCTCTGATAGCTCTTTACAGTTTTATAATTAACAAAAATAGAGTTGTTTTTTTTTTTTAAACCCTCAAATTAGGGTACCCTAATCAAGGCAAAAACTTAAGAAATGGCTTACCGTTAGCACAACACTTGTACAGTACTACAAAATGCACTGTCACTAACAAAGACATTAGCGGCATGCTGAAGTGTCACCTTAAACAAAATATACAGTAATTGAAATGCTAAAGGCATTTACATGGAGTGGACAAGGAAGGAAAAAGCTCCAGGGTCAATACTAAAACAGGTGATCTGGGGCGGGGCTTGTATCCACACTGTTTGACAGAAGCAGGCACAAAGAGTGCCTGCCGCCCAGCTGCAGTCCTAGGGAGGCCTTCCTTTGCAGAGAATTTTATATAAAAGTAACAGAAACCAAGGTACCAAAAAGGAAAAAAGGAAAAAAGAAAAACAACTTGTATAAGGCTTTCTGCTGCATACAGCTTTTTTTTTTCTTTTTTTTTAAATAAATGGTGCCAGCAATGTTTTTGCATTCACACCAATGCTGGTTTTGAAATCGTACTCTTCCAAGGTATTTGTGCAGATCAATCCAACAGTGCGGCCCAGTGGGGTCTGTGGGCTGCCGGGCTGCCTACCTTCTCATGTAGGACCCATTGAGAGACTGTTTGGACATGCCTGTGTTCATGTAGCCGTGGTGTCCGGGGGCTGTGTACATCATGTTACTGTGGGGTGGGGTCTGCATTGGCTGCTGGGCGTACGCCTGGGTTCCCATCATGCCCATCTGCATCTGCATAGGGTACTGGGGCGTTTGATTCATGTAGCCATGGTTGCTGTGGTAGCCGCTGTTCATCATTGGCTGGGACATGCTGTACCCGTTCATGGCGTTGAGAGTGTTCATGTTCATGTTCACAGAGTTGACATTGTAGGCTGGCGCTGGCATCAAGTTTACACTCATGTTCATGCCCCTCTGCATCGTCAAAGTCCGTGCCGGACCCTGCATGGCTACAGTCTGGGAACGCCCATAGATCTGTGACTGATGGGGGGCAGCGGCTGGTGACAGAGATGCCGACTTGGTTCTCATGGAGACGTGGCCCTTGCTGGCAATCTGAGTCTGCAGTCTTTGGCTGTGGGAGATGCCAATGTTCGAAGCAGCCATGTTCCGCTGCAAGAGAGGTGGCGGCAGATTCATGGGAGGAGGAGTCAGGTTAGGGGGCGGGGTCATGGTCGCTTGTGCTTGGGATCCCCCAGGGACGGAGTGTGGAGACTGAGAAAGCTGAACAAGCCCTGTGTTACTTAGTGGTGTGGACAAAGAGGCACTGTTTGCATAGGAGGTCACAGCAGCGGAATGGCTGTAAGGCAATGAATGGTCAATAAGTGTGTTAGTTAACTGCTGCAGTTTGGCAAGGCTGAAGGTGGCAGATGGCTGTGGGTAGTGCCCAGCCCCAAAGTCACTCTGACCCATTCGCTCATATAAGCCAATGTTGGCATTGCTGGTCTCAGGGATGTCGGCCAGCTGCATGGGTGGGGTGAAGTTGGCGGCCATGCTGCACTGAGCGAGCTGCTGGCTGCTGCTGGGAGGCCTCTCCACCACACAGCCTTGGGGGGACTTGACACCGCAGGTCGGAGGGGAGCTGATACTGGTCTGCTGCAGCATGCTGCAGCTCCCGCTGATGTTGGACATCTGCTGGGTGACGGCACAGCTGCTCTGTGTCAGATTGCTAGAGGTGAGGCTGCTGTAGGAGCAGCTGTTCTGGGAAGAGCTGTTCCCGCAGATGCTGCCTCCCATGGTTGAGTCGTAGCTGCTCGGGTTTTCATAGTTCTCGGTTGTGCTCTCGATACTGCCCAGGTCACTAAAGCCACTGTCAACCACTTGCTGTGAGTGATCTGAGACTGACGGGACGTCCATCATCGGACTGGTCTCCATGCTCTGCAGAGGTGGCACTGTGATAGCAGTCTGATCGGGACTGATTTGGGCATAGCTATTCTCAAGGGCGGGGACGTTGGGGCTGTTGACAGAACGGACTGACTGGCCAGGATGGGAATGGACGGACGAAACCGGGCTGTGGTCTGACTGTTGGCATTCGTCCAGAGTGGTGGCAATTTGAGGACTTTGGTCTGTATGTGTATAGTTCTGCAGGCTTCTACAGGCCTCTTGTGTCTCGGCACAATCCTGAAAGGTGTCATCGTGTTCCCCGTTTTCTTGGGTCAAAGACTGGACAGCCTGGGCGGTCTCCGAGTCAATTTCCACAGGGGCTGTGCCTCCCTCTTTGAGCTCAGCATCGACGCCATCACTGTTCTTCTGGTCCTGCTTCTGTGTCTGCTCTTCTGAGGGCTCCTCATCAGACTCAGGCGCAGTTCCAGGGTCCCCAGCAACCTCCTTCGGCTCACTGTCACACGCAACTGCAAGGTCAACGCCGCAGTCCATCAGGACCTCAGGGCTGGAGTGACTCGGCTGAACACTAAGGTCTAAAAAAGCTTCCTGGCTCTCTAGCGCATCCTTGAAGGCTTCTTTGGGGAGGTCACCCCTCTCCATGCCGGCGGACTCCATGTGGCTGTCATCCTCGTCATCTGCGTCATGGTCCTCATTGTGGGATGGCTCCTCCTCCTCCTCTTCCTCCTCCTCCTCCTCGTGATCATCCAAATGCATGGGGTCTTCCTTCTCCATGGAGATTTCTGGTTCCTCTTTTTCTTTACTTTGAGCACCATCTTGGTCTTTTTCTGCAGTTCCTTCTTCCTCCTCCTCCTCCTCCTCCCGCTCTTCCTCCTCTTCCTCCTCCTCCTCCTCACCTTTGATGGGGTCCTCCTCATCTACCTTTTTACCTGGTGACTTAGAGGGACTCACGGGTGCTCCGGTCTCCTCCCTTCTCTTCCCGTCCTGCGGTAGCAGGGCTTCCATGGTCTCCGTCACCTCCCGCTCCGTCCCCACAGGGCTGCCCTTGTCTTCTGAGACCTCCTTCTGCTCCTCCACGGTCACCTGGTCATCTGGCTCCATGGGCGTCTCTGGTGGGGTGTACAGGTTCAGTCTGAAGCCCGTCTTCCTCTCCTTGCTTTGCTTCCACTTTGAGAGGCCGCGCTTGGTCCCTTTCGACCAGACTTGTTTGCACTTTAGAGGTTCAGGATTGTCTTTGCTGCCTTCTTTCAAGTTTCCTGCATTATCGTCCACATTGTCTTAATGAGGGGACAGAGAGAGAGAAAAGCACAAGTTTTATAAAGTCTAACCACACACGACACATATCTCTAATTCATTAGCAAGCATGGCTTTCAGTTTCGCACTGGAAGAGTTGATGGGAAAGGCAGTCGAGAACACTGTGGTGTAAACCAAGCTGAGTAACCTAGGCTTGGGAAAGTAACCTAGGCTTGGGAAAGTAAATGACATTCTAGGATGCAAAAGCTGGGAGTTCCACAATCCTAAAAAAACAAACCTGAAGCCCAATTTCAACATCGACAAATCTGGAAATGCAGCAGGACAGGAGTAATGCCAGCTTCTAGTCCGATTGTCACTGCACTAGGAAATGAAGGGGATTAACTCACTGCCCACCGGCGGAAAGGACCTTTTCCTGGTGGACATTTGCTAGATTTAAATGATCTCAGATGACAATAATTTATTTTTATCTTATGTGTGTGAGTGTTTTGCTTGCATGTATGTCTATGCACTAAGTGCATGCCTGGTGCCAGAGGAGGCCAGAAGAGGGCATCAGATCCCCTGGAAGAGCAGCCAGTGCTCTAACCACTGAGCCATCTCTCCAGCCCCAGCTATTACTTATTTCGACATAAAAGCATACTTGTATATAAAACAAAGGAGTAGCTACAAGAACAGTGCATCTGTAATCATCATTATAAATGTCATTCATGATTTATGAACGACACAACCTACAATATAATCACTGTAGCATTTCAAATACAGGTTGTTTTCTTTTTAATTAGAGATTCTGTCCACAGTATATCTGGGATCAGTTTGCTGTTTAGATGTAAGAGTGACTAAGGGGCTGGAATGGTTGCTGCCCTCTGCCCCCAGCATCTATGGCTGGACAGTGGCTCAGCCCTGGCACCTAAGTGACCTCTGAGACCCCAGCTGCTCTTCTGTGACTGTGGTCATGCATTTTGTTGGTCAGCTGGTCACCATGCCGATGGGCCACCTGGGTCCTAGAATGTTCTAGATGTGCTGAGTCCTGGAGCAGAGCAGAGCTGTGCTCCTGCAGGTTATCACACAGCAAAATCAATAAACTACTTGGTAACAACAACAAATGTCAAGCCTGAATTAGATAATTAGAA